CCCCAAAACCCCAAAACCCCAAAACCCCAAAACCCCAAAACCCCAAAACCCCAAAACCCCAGATCGTTAGTCCCAGGTTGAGGATGGGATTCTTAAATATCATTTTTAAGACGCAAAGCCATTTTTCCAAGTTGAGATATGCTTTGGAGGTGATAAAACCATCCTGAAACCTAGGGGAATCTACCCAACCCAGTTGTTTAAGCTGCACTGGAGAAGGCTGGATGGAGATGTCAATATGAAGAGATGGCCTCCAGCCATTAGTCTATATGTAGACCCTGATACTTTGTGTGTTAAAATATAATAAGCAGGAAAATATTAGGAATAAATCTTAGTCAGACCAATCATCTTCGTTGTGGTCAGTAAACTCTTTTATCTGCTTGAAGGGAGGACCTGCCACTTTCCTAGCTTTTGCCTGATCAGTCTCGCCTCGAAGAGGGTTGTCCCTCTCAGACCAGATTTCCTAAGGATTAATGATTTAGTAATACCTGGTGGTCGTTGGATTTGGAATCTTCATCTATAGATACAGATGAGCGTATTTGGATGAGATTTTTAACACTCTGATTCTTCTTAGCCTTCTCTGCCAAACTGTTCTTTATCGATGTGTCCTCGTTGTTGTTTGATTCTTGGGGTCCTAAGTTTAAAGCTTGCCGTATCGTTGTTTTCCTTCGTAAATTTGAGTGAGAACTGAAAACTTTTGTAGCTGGTGGCTTGTCTCTACAAAGATGTGAGTTCATTAACATTTAGTAAGCAGTAAGAAACTTACTCTGTTTCCAATGCAGATATACTCCTGAACTTTGAATTCTCCCGAATTCCATGGGATTGAGAGGGAAAGTCTTCACCAATCTGAAGAGATCTCCTCTGCTCATGAATTGACTCTAGCTTCTTGGAACTCTCTACTTTTTCATGGGCTAAAAGTTATGGTGATTTATACCTCCTCAAGTGCATTGAGCCTCTCTTTCTTGGAGGTAGTTAACCTTTTCAGTCAGGGTGCTGACTTGGGTTGTGAGGACAGTGAGCAAATGCTCTACTCTTTGCTCATGAGTTTGAGGTTTCGAGTTAAGTGCCTTCTTCCACTGCTTCTTTTCCTTTTCACGTCTTTCCTCTTGCATTTGTTCTTGAATATTTCTGAGAATGTCTGTAAAAATGCTACTTTTGCAGGACTGGAGTATACGCATGAGTCTTTTAACAGCTCCTCTAAATCTTGCTGCTGGTCGCACATTTTTCTGCTTTTCATGATAAAGTTTAAAATCACAGTTGGGAATGCCATTGTCTTCAACAAATTTTTCATGTTCAGTCATTTTATAGTCAAGGTCTTCATATTTTGTTCTCAAGATTTCGAGGATGGCAAAGTCAAGCTTGATCACAGAGACATCGGTCCGAGCAATTCCAGTGATGGTATAATTCTCGTAGGCTAGGCTTGAGTAACTTCCAATGGTTCATCCAGAAGTCAGAGTTTCGAGGTAAGTTCCTGAAGATATGGTCTTGCTCGATATCTTTATTTCTAACTTGCCATTACAAACAATAAAGATCTCTCTGCAAGGGTCTCCGCTGTGGAACAGGTGATCCTTTGCATGAAGGCTGATCACCTCCATCTTGTAAGAAATCTCTTCTATGACTTCTTCTGAGACACCATTAGAGAGGAAGTCGATATTTAATAGTGATCTTTTGACGAACTTCCGCCATCTATCTTGGTAGCTCTCTTTAATCCGTTTCTCCATGGCTGTCCGCAGGAAAGGGTATCCAGCAATTAACTTATCAAAAATCTTTTTGTCCAGCGAAGCTCAAGTGGTGTAATTCTTAGACTTAACAGTGGCTGTTCGGTAGCACTCCTTGAGTAGGGCTACTTCTCCAAAGTAGCTACCTGGAACAAGAGTATGTATTTGTTTAATGTTCAGATTTTCGTCTTTAATAAATACCTGGCAATCTCCTTTGGCAAGAAAGTAAAACTTGCTGCCAGCTGTACCTTGTCGGCAGATCTCGTCCTCTGGGAGAAAAAGGAGAGTGGTCAAGTCATACAGAACGATTTCAATGATTTCTCCCTTTTCTTCAAATATGGGATTTCCAATGATGCATTTCTGGAAGATATGCTTTGTGACTTCGCTTCGAAGACTTGGTGATAACAGCTGTAAAAAGTCATCGAATTCCTTCTGCTGATCCAAGGTCGACTGAGTGCTGATCAAGTATGCCTGAACCTTATCTTGGAGAGGCTCAGGGATTGACATATTTCTCATGGTTGAAGTAGCAATCTCCACCTTTTCATGGAAGGCTGAGTTTCTCCTGTTCATTTGTTGAAGGATGACAGCCATGTTACCAAAAATATTTGCATTGATGATGGATGCAGCTAAGATAAAAATCGTTGAGAAGATCAGCTGCGCCGTGCCTTGTGGTGCCATGTCATTTCCTGCCAGCATTAGCACAGCATAATAAAAAGAGGTCAAGTATTGGTAAAAGTGATGCCTCTCATAAATTAGTGGATTAGAATAGTTCTCATCAAGTGGGGGTATCCACACGTTGTTCTGCCTGACAATGAAGAACCATAAGCACGATACTCAGTGCAGATAGAGGGTTAGGAAGAAAACTAGCTTAATCAGCCTGATTGCCATCTTAATATCAGATTTCAGATTCAGATAGGCTATCAATCTTGAGAGACGGGCTACTCTCATGAGTTTTAACAGATTAAACATGTTCAGTATAAATGTTGCATTGCTGCTACCTGGAACGATGAGTGAAATCAGGTCTGTAGGTATCGATGCAAGTAAATCCAGCCAAAATCTCCCTAAAATGTTATCCGTAAGCCTACCTTTGAGGTAATTTATAGCTATATGCTTTGGATCATGGACCTCAATGCCTGTCTCTTCGTTGATATAGGTAGTTCGGAAACTTATTACTAAATCTGCGATGAAAATAGAATCAATTATTTGATCGAGGATAAAGACCAAGACAGTGTCACCTGCATCTTCCAGAAAAGCTATGGTATATGGCACCTGGATACAATTGAATATAGCCAAGAGCATGATGAAGAGGTCCCAGTAGATTCTACGACTTTCTTGGAACCTTCAGAGGCATCTTCTTCCCTTGGTCACTGCTAGAAAGGAGGTATCAGGCTCTGTGGTTAGCTCATTGCTGTCTAAAGATTGGGAGAGTTTGCTTACCGTCTAACCTAATTTCATCGTTGTAAGGATTCTCAGCTTTAGTATTTGGATCATTTTGGTCTAGACAGAGGATAGGTTAGGACCCTTACCGTTGTACATAAGTTTCTGGGACCCACTGTTTGCAACGTATTGTGTCTGACTTGGATTATTTGAACTGTCTTCATTTGTTCCACCATTATTCTTGGAATCTAATTTGTGGTCAGTACACTTGAGGCTAGGTGAACTCTCGTTAAATTGCTTCTATATCGAGATTAAGAGAAATTTCTATGTAAAATATGCTTTTAGTAGAACATATTATGGTTTAATTAATTTTGGGTAACAATAACTTATTATTTTTGAAAATTTACCTTCTTTTGATTTTAGAGAATTCTGGGCTTTTGGGAGTCATTTTTCATCCTTTTCTGCTTTGGGATTTAAATTTTCAGCTGTTAGCTGTTTTTGATTATTTTTTGAATTTGATGAATCATCAGACGATAAGGAGATTGATTCTTCCCTTTTCTGGGTGCTGTTTCGGTATTTTAAAGTTAATCAATGTGGAGAAATATAAGAATGTCCTTCGTTCAGTTTCAAAATAAAATTTTCTGAAAACTTACTTATCACCAATCTCCATGCTTCCAGGAATTTTTAATTTCAAAGGTTTAAAATCCCACTCATCATTCAGTCTCTCTACATCTTTTATGCTATAATCCATTTATCCCATCCTCCCAAAGACCCAAAATACCACTAAACACTTCAAAATACTCCTCTATTTGCTCAAAACCCCTCCAATCCCCTCCTAGACCCCTCCTTCCTCTAATTCACCCCTTTTTCTTCCCTCCCTCCTCCACTACTCACCCTCAATCAGTTTTCTGGTTCATATTCGTACTATTCATCATAGATTATCTAAATATCAATATAATCAATATTATATTCTTGCCTGGGGTTTTGGGGTTTTGGGGTTTTGGGGTTTTGGGGTTTTGGGG